GGCGTGGCGGGGCGTGGCGGGGCGTGGCGGGGCCGGGCGGGCCTTATTGACCGGAGCGCATAAGCGATTGAATATCGGCATCGAGTTGTCCGTTTGACGGCTGACATGGCGTTGTCGTGTGTGGGGCCCCGACGGGAAGGGAAGGGCTCGCGAGAGTGGGTGGTCCTGGAGGACGCGAGGCCCTCCTAGAGGAGGATATGGGAAGGGAACTGTAACACTCCTCTATGGAGGTGGGAAAGGTTTTTTTCGCTATGGTAGGCGCAGAGGGGAAGGGAAGAGGAAAACTTTACTGCTGGAGAAATACTTTTTCTGTAGGAGGTTAGATTTGTTCAGGGGGATCACGATGGCGTTGTTACTTTTGGTCGTCGACAAGCCAACGGCACGTAAATCGACACCATACCATGTCGCGCGCGCGATCGGTCGCGATGCTTGCATGCTTGTATGCTAATGTTGGGGCGTGGCGGGCGTGGCGGGGCGGGGCGGGCGTCATTGTGCTAAGCGCCCCGGTCGTGTCCCGCCGCGAGTTGTGGCGGTCCTAAAGTAAGTTCCCCGCGCCACGCCACGCTGCGCACGCCTACGCGCGATTCTCCCATGAGGACTTGAGCTACGTCCCCCTTGCTCCCGCCCCCGCGACCAACAATGCCACACTTATCGAACCACTAATGCTCTGCGTGTGTTTTTGCAGGCGACTACCTCTACGCCGTCAACGGCTACACGGCGGACAACATCCGCGTCGGTGGCTTCACGCTGGACCCGGCCTCCGAGTCCCTGATCGACCGCTGGGGCCCGCCGCAGGGCATGAGCAACCCGCACTCGGTGGCCGTGTCGCCCGACGGCAGCGCGCTGTACGTGGCCGAGATCGGCCCGAACCGCGTCTGGAAGTTCAACCTCCCGCAGGCCCTGTAAAGCACCTCCGCGACCCCCTACGACGACGTCCAAGACTATACACCAACACCTTTAATCCCATGACGGCGACGGCGTCCTTTTGCGACCTCCGCGACGAAGACACCCCGCGAGGCCGCGACCTTGGTGATCGGTATGGCCTCCTCGCGAGCCGCCCGTCGGCGCGTATAGGGTCCTCGGGCAGAGCGCGCGGGCGGCGGGGGCAGCAGCGCGAGAAGGAGAAGGAGCGCGTGAAGGTGAAGTGAGCCGCGGCCGCCCTCCGACCCCGCGCTCTGCCCGTATACCGCCGCGGGCAGCGCGCTGCGATTGTCATACACTCACCAAAAAACAAAAACAAAAAAAAAAGTATAGAAAATTTACCGCTGCTTTTTGCAGTGTATATAGTAATGTTCTTCCGGTCATGCTGCGAATGCACCATTTCTCGTGCCGCCGGCTGGCGATAAGGTCTTCTTTGACATTTAAATCAGCCGATCCATTAAAGACTCTTTGCCGATTCCGTTCCGTTTGTCGACGATACACACCGACGTGTCTAACGAAGGCGCGCGCATGTGGCGCCGCGCTTAACGGAAATTGAAGTTCAGAAGCACAAAATTCGATTACGTTTTTATTTTGTCGTGATTTGAATATTACATATTGTGCAGAATATCATATCAGACGAGAGATATCAGTCCTCTGCTTTTCGATTCCTTTCTTTAACTCCATTTTTTTAAGGAGAAAAATAGTGCCACACACGATTTCTCAGGTATAGAGGGGAGGCGAATTAATGCATATATTTTTCCCTTTTCTCATTTCCATGTCGTCAGAGGCATACCGCACTCTAGTACATAATGATGTAGACGTGCAAGCAGTGAGCACAGAATACGTCTTGCTCGACAGCTCACGAAAGAATATGCAATATAAAATCGTGTAAGCTAGTGACGTGAGCAAAACTTAATTCTTGTTTCGTGGCTTTTCCCATTATACCCCCTTTGTGTCGTTGTTTATTACAAGTGTGCATGTCGGTGATGTGATTGTTGGTGATAAATAGTACAGTTGTCTAGAAATTCCTTCCTTCATTTTCGTAGAATGTGGTAGTTTATTTGACGGCGTGTTCTGTAGTGTGTGAATCGTGGGAATCACTGAATAAATTCACAAAAAGATACAGCGGGAAACTGCGATTGAATGTGGACAGTTTTCAATACGACAGCCCAAAGACATTGAGCGTGAACCGGTGAAAATCATACAGAAGTCTTGAACAGCACACTATACAAGGGAATGCGACCGTACGGCGCGTTTGCGCCGCTCCACGCCGCTCCGACGCAGCGACGACGCGGGGACCTGAACCTGTCCTACCGGCCGTCCGCCCGGACTTTATACGAATAAAGACATCAACGCAGATTATTCCCAGAAGCGTTTGCAGCGGCAAGCGGGCAGGGGCCACGCAATTTACTCTGCGGCGTGTTTCGCAGTCGTTGTTTCTTTCCCCGGTCTCTTCTCCCCCGGTCTCTTGGTGCTTGCTCGGGCTGCTGGTGGTGCCTTTTCCCCCCTTTCTTCTTCTTCTTGTTGGCGGCGAGTTGTTTTCGCCGCTCTCTAAACCGTTTTCACACCGGCCGAGCCTCTGGCCGACACACGCCGATGCCGAGCGGCAGAGATATTCGAGAACCCGTATTATTTACTGCATTGAGTCCCAAAATTCATTTCTCGTCCGACCCGTAAAGGGGGCTTGCCGCGCACCCGAGCATACTCAACACCGCCCCGGCCATCAAGGCTATCGTCACCGTTGAACTTGTGCGCACACCCTTGTGCGGATTGATGTGGGCAATCGTCAGCATACAACAGAACAGATTGAATCCCAATGATTTTAAAAACAAAATGTATGTACGAAGGAAAAATACGAAATGAAGGGTCGCCCGATTAAGAAAGAATGACGCCTGCTGCCTGGCTTCTGGCAGTCAGTAGTGGCCGTGGTGGTGCCGGCATATGGCGCGAGCACACAGGTGTGCACAGGCAGGGGGCCGAAGGCAGCCGCCGCCATCCCGGGGGGTTGTTTGGAAAATTAAATGGGGGAACCAATGAATTAAAACGTCGCGGCAGCAGCAGGGGTTGTGCGCAGCAAACGCGCGCGGGAATCGAATTCGTAATTATTAAGCGGATGAGGAGGAGGCAATCCTAAAGGAAACAGGGTACAGGTGTGTGGGTACGTCGTATACACCTTGCAGAGGAAGAACCGGCGTCGACTTGGTGTTCCGGCTGCGGCGGCGGCGGCGGCAGCAGGGTGCCGCGCCAAACAGGATGCAGCAGGAGCAGCAGGAGGAGGAGTGACCGATGCAGGTGCAGCGCCAAAAGGTTCAGTGGCAACGTCCTGCAGGACTGCAGGACTGCAGGATGCAGAGAGTCGCCTGCACTTGCACTGCACTGGGGGGACGCGGGGGACGCTGTGTGCAGGTGATAAAGCTCTGGGCGCGAGGAGACAGGCGGGGCGTGGCGTGGCGTGGCGTGGCGTGGCGGGGCGTGGCGGGGCGGGGCGGG